TAACCAATTGGATTCTTCATAGCCATACTTGAACCCATTGCGAATCATTCAGCTCATCTCAAATAATTCTCTCGGATCGGGATCAGTACACCATGTCATTTTCACAACTTTTTTTTAATATCTTTTGAGTGAAAGCAACTCGATCACCCATTTACTCATTCAATTCAATAAACTATTGAGTAAATACAGTGAGTTTGCTTGATCTATCCATTATCTCAAAAATATCTATATAAATTTAAATATACTTAGTATTGTACTAAGTAAGGGTAGACTTTATTACAATGATAAAAATATTCCTTTGCAACTTAGGATAATAAGACTTGATAGTATTTAGTATCTCTATATTTAAAGATATAATTAGATACATTGATCCTCTCACATGAGCTACTAACTAATATGCTAATTATATATATGATATCAAAAATAGATTGATTTGATATCACTCTTCAATTCGAATTAGCAAAGGCAATGTCTCCTTACATAATATGGATTCCAAACATTCATGATATATGTGAATGAGTCGAATTATTTATCTTTCGATCTATTAGAGAACTATTTTACTAAAGATATTTTTGTTATTGCTTTTGTGCATCGACTTTGGAGTTCGAATCACAAAAATTGCACGAAGGTGTTAAATTTTCCCTACTTTTTATATTATCCATCATATTGCATATGAAATAAGAAGGTCTTAAGACTTTAGTATCCAATCAAATGAAAAACTATAAGTACCTTAGCTGCTAAAGGTATTGAAATCAAATCCTATCTTCACTATTTATCTTATGCAAAGACTATATATACTCACACAGCAACTTCACGGTTAACACATCCTAGGATGGTCCCAAACCAGTCAATCAATGGGCCAATTTGTACCAGTCCCAATCCATATCTTGTGTCACTAACTCCTACTCTTTGGAATCTATTGACATCTCATGTGCTTTGATGTCATATTAGTTAGCTATTCATGGAATAGGAGATTCCCTTATTCTCACTTGATTCTCCAACCCACGAGACTTGTGCCACATGGCACTTTAATCAACTCCAACTCCCTTTAACGCCTAACGCCGTTCGTATCTTTTCATTCTCCGTGCTACTGCTGGTCACGGGGCGTTATATAACGGGGAGTTGGAGAAAACGCTGGTGTGGTCACCGAGGGAATACTTGCAATCGGTGAGACAGCGACAGTCGCCGAGATAGCCGACGCGTTCCCTTTTCCCGGGTCACGTGGTGCGGTAACGGGACGCTGGATCTCGTGACGCGCGTTAATGTGACCTACAACCGTCTCTAATGACGCTGTAATCTTGTTTAAGAGATACTAAATTAATTTGTAATCTATTTTTAATTAGTATATAATAGTTGTGGCTGTTGCAAACGAGGATATGGTCAGTAAACGTTACTGCCTGCCTCGAAGTGGTGAGTGAGTAGGACCGGCGGGGGGGAGTCTCGACTCGTCGTGACGCGGTCAAACTCGCCCGGAACTCGAAAGGCGTAAACGGGCGCACAAAATCTAAATGCGCCGTGGGAACGCCTTGGTCATTGTGGGAGATGGACTGGGGCAATAGAGTCATTTTGCTGCCTGCCTATCCACTTTAAAAGCTCTTTAGCGGGAGTCGCGATGAATGAATGCAGCGCACAAGCCTCCCATGTGTATGCGTGTGTGAGGTGTGAGCTGGAGTCTGGAAAAGAGGTTGAGATCTGACCTGAGACGGGCGGCGGAGAATCCGTGTAGAAGGAAGAGCAGGAGATGACGCCCGGCGTTGTTGGCCATGGAGGTGTCCTAGAGGAGCCGCGCCTCGAGCGGCAGATGGGGTGCATGGCTGGGTTCCTCCATCTGTTCGACCGCCACCAAATCCTCGCCGGAAGGCGCCGCTACTCCACCCGAAGCCTCCCCACTTCCTCGGTGAGGGTTTTGGAGAAAAAGATGAGATCTTGGATGCGTTTCTTTCCTTTTGTGATGCTGTCTTCTAATGGTTGGTTGGTCGATTTCAGGCTGCTGGATCGAGGTCGCCGTCGGAGAGTTCGGTAGCTTCCTCGGCGTCGTTGTTCATGGAGAGCCATCCTCCTTCGAGGCCGCTGGAGCCCCGCCCTTCTTCGCCGGAGAGAAGCTCCGTGTCGGAGACGCCGGCGAGGCGGTCGCTTCCGCTGCCGCTCCCGATCTTCGAGGTCGCGGACGGGGCGAGGACCACCTGGAGGATCCGAGACTCTCCTAGGCTTTCTCTCGACAGCCGCGCGGTGGTTGACGCGAGAGGAAAGCTCCGACCACGGGAGATCCGGACGGCGGTCCCCGTGACCCCCGGGGGCCAATCTGACGCCTCCGACGCCGGGGAGGAGCAGCGGCGTTCCCCGAGCGTCGTAGTGCGGCTAATGGGGCTCAACTCCCTGCCGAGTTCCGGCAGCGCAGGTGGAGCTGAGCTGGACGGCGCCGAGCTCCGCCGATCCGCCTCCGAGTCACGAGTTCGGAGAGATCCATCGAGCTACGGATTCGCGGACGCAGGATCGTTCCACAAGCCATCGCCGCAAGCGGAAGCCACTCCGATATCCGCCGAGGAGTTCTTTAAGACGGTCAATCCAGCCCGATTCCGGCTTAACGACGCCAAGAAGGCCAAGCCGGCTGCGAGAAGCACCCTGCTTCAACCGCTCCGGCGGAAGATCTTCTTTGACGCCGAGGACTTCTTCCCGGAGCCGAAGCGGTCGGCAGCGCTCTACTGCGAGATCGAGAAGCGGCTCAGGATGCGAGGCATCGACGAGCCGGCGAAAGACCTGGAGACTCTGAAGCAAATCCTGGAAGCGGTCCAGCTCAAAGGGCTCCTCCACTCCAATCTGTCGGACCACCACGTCATCGATCGCCGCAATCTCACGTACGACCACGAGGGCCGGATCCACCGCGACTCCCCGATCGTCGTCATGAAGCCGACATCCAGGTCCCCGCGGCGGCCATCGAGCGAGCCGCCACCTCCCAGATCCGGCGCAGCTTGCAAGAGCGCAGGGCCGGTCCGGCGTGAGCGGGCGGCGGTGGAGCGGACCATCAAGGAAGGAAAACAACGGAAGTATCGAGCGCCGATATCGCCCGAGAGCCCAAGCTCGGCGGTGCATCGAAGGCCGTTGAACGCAGCGGCCCAGAAGAGTGCACAACCGCAGCGGAGGGTCTCGACCGTCGGTTCCCCAAAGTCTAGTCCGAAGAGGGTGGGTTCGGATCCGCTGGCCGTCCGATCGCCGAGGAGCCGGAGGCCAACGTCGGCTTCACCTGCCGAGGAGAAGGTCCACGCACCGGCGGAGGACGATTCCTCCACCAGCCTTTCCGAGAGTAGCATCAGCGCGTCGTCTCAATTAGACTTGGAGGTACAACAACCTTTTCCGTCTCCACCAACGCAATCCCGCAACATTTCATGGAGTTTCGAGTTTGTAGTGACACGGACGGTGGATGATCATTTGACGCAGAGATCGAGGGCGGAGGACTGCAGATCAGGGGCAAGCCTGCTGGAGCGATGCGACAAGCTGTTGCACAGCATCGCGGCGTTCACCGCGGCGGACCAGCAGCCGAGCCCCGTCTCGGTGCTCGATTCGTCGTCGTACCTCGGCGACGACGGCTCGCCTTCGCCCTCTCCCCTCGCCAAGCGTTCCATCTACTTCAAAGGTAAAAACACACCAACAGAACTGCCCGCGCTCCCTGTCCTCCGTCTTATGGGCCCCACTTCCTCTTTGCGCCAGCTGTGACCAACCTGGCCCGGCGGAGCCAACGGCGCCTTTCTGTTTCGCTTTAGAATCTGATTTGAAACCACAGCCTCCTGCTTTGAATCCGTTATAGTATTTGCGAACATTGATGCAATCCTGTCCGCAGATCAACTGGCAGCCGACGAGTGGGAGGAGTTGGAGTGGTCTCCACCGGCTTCAACGAATCATGGTGCCGCGGACGGCGGGCCTGACGCAGTCGACCACGACTACGCCTACGTGCACGACGTCGTGCGCGCGTGCCGCCGCTACGGGGACGTGTCCGACGACGTGTACGCGGTCCTGGAGAAGGGCTGCCGCCGGCGCCGTGCGGGCGACGCGACCAAGGCCGCCCGCCTCCACCGCCGGCTCCTCTTCGACACTGTGGCCGAGATCCTGGACCGCAAGCGCCGGGTGTCCCCCTGGGAGGCCTTCTCGAGCCCCCCCGCGGGAGGCGGCGGGGAGGGGGAGGGGGAGGAGGAGGCACTGCTGCGGCAGGTGTGGGCGGAGGTGCGGCGCATCCGTGAGCAGGTGGCGGAGGACGACCAGGACGCCGTCGCCTGCTGCGCCGTGCGGAAGGACATGGCCGGAGGGCTCGCCGCCGACGGGTGGGCCCGCCACGCCGCCGAGATGTCCGACGCCATCCGACAAATCGAGCGGCAGATCTTCAAGGACCTCGTCGCGGATACCATCCACGACCTCGCCGCCGGCGTCCCGGAGTCCCGCCCCCTTCTCCCCCGCCGCAAGCTCGTCTTCTAGATAACCAAACCAAGACAAATAAAGAGGGCAGAAAAAAGGCGGATATGTTGTGATGACGTAACAAAAGGGCAAAAGCGTTGTTTTCGGTAATGTGTGGGACCGGTCCGAAATGGGCTTCGGCCAGAGTTGGAGCCCACGCGTCCATTGTATATTTGGGATTGGGTTTCGTTAAAAGGAATGGTTTGTTTTGGGGCCCAAATAGCAGACGTGCTGTAGAACGTGTGATTGGGACATTCGAATCACAGATGAGTTCAGTATGAGACCATTGGTCGGTGGCGTCGACGCAACCCCCTCCACCTTCGTGGAAAAGCTAGAGTAGTTTCAGCGCAGACAGGGGTTGACAAATGCTCCTCCTCTCCCAGAAGAAGAATTACAACACTCTTTCTTGGAAGTTGTGCTGAGAAGACATGTCAAGAAAGTCAACACAGAGCCTATAAGAAGGCCTGTGTTTGTCATCCGTCATGGCCCTCATCCATCGTCTCTTGTTGCTCCTCACCACCCTGCTTGCTTCTGACTTGTAAAAAATGTACGGTTTCATGGATCTCACAGCTGAGCACAAGGAGGTCTTCTCCCTTTTCGACAAGGATGGAGATGGTTCTGTCTCTCTTCCTTTTTGTCTTAGTTCTCCTTCTATCTTGTGTTATGTGGTTCCAAGATGCAGACCAAGATTTGATGCTTATATTAAGATGAAATCTGCTTGCAGGTCACATCACGCTCGAAGAACTGCGCACAATCATCCGATCATTAGGCCGAGAACCAACTCTGCAAGAGCTGCAGGATATGATCAGGGAGGTCGATGTGGATGGCAATGGCACCATAGAGTTTGATGAATTCTTGAACGTGATGGCTATGAGAACGAAGGTGACCATGGAACGAACGCTTTTACCAACTTCAGTGATCGATGCTTCTTAATTACAGTTGCTTTTCGGGGCTTTGTAGGAGGCTACTGAGGCTGAGGCTGAAGAAGAACTGCGAGAAGCCTTCAAGGTTTTCGATATAGACAACAATGGATACATCTCACCCAGCGAGGTGATATTTCTCCCTTGCATGTCTTCTTCTTCGTAATATCTATCTATCTATCTATCTATGTGATCTATAGGTATGAAGGAGCTTTGATGTCTCGAAACCTCTCGTCGTAATTGCACTTGCAGCTTATGAGCGTGATGACTAATCTGGGAGAGGAAGTAACAAAGGAGATTGCCGCAGAGATGATCATGGAGGTTGACGCTGATGGTGACGGGCAGGTGGATTTCAAGGAATTCTCCACCTTGATGATGGCTATCGGAACTACACCGACGAATTCCTTTTCTTCATTGTACATAAACTGAATCAAATACATGTTGATGATCTCTCTCGTTTGATACAGCACAAAAGCTTTCCACAGTCATGCCTCTGTGAATGATCACAATGATGTCAATGGTAGCACACTACTACAGTAGCAAGCAACACTTGCCAAAATCTCTGTTTCAGGCTGAGATCAAATGGCAATTAGAATTATAATATTGAATCTTTTCGCGAAAAGAGAATGAGTAATCTAAGCTTTAAAAGTAATTTGGCATTGCAATACTTGAGCATAAATTTGTTCCAAGTGAGCAATCTTTTCAAAGGTTGACACATCCTGTGGATGATATGCTTTCCCTGACCCACCTACTCCAAGATGAAGAGCTCATCTCCTCCTCTTATTCCCATCACTGCACTGTGCTTGTGCAGCCACTCAAGCTTATTCTTATGCTCTTTTGGCACTCAGCAAAAGGCTTGTGATTCCCTGACTGCAATAGTTGAGTACTGCAACAACTATGTGAATCAATGGCTAAGCTGCATTTGCATGGAACACTACTGCTCATGCTGTATGAATTTGGATGGCAATAACTGGTCACTTGCACATGAAAAAGACATCTTGGAGGTCAATTCTTGGTATTAAGTTCAGAAAACACCAGCTTGAATTCTTCTCCAGCTTCCAAACTGCTGCCTTTCTTCCATCCTCAAATTCTCTTCAGTGCATCTAAGAGATGTCTTACTTTGCTCCTACTGCTATGTATGTTTTGTGAGAAGCTGCCTCTTAGCAAACAAAATCAAAATGAAGGAGAAGATGTCTGTTGGAAGGCAGCAGCTTTCCAAACAATCATTACTTGCTCCAGAGACACTAAAGTTATGTTCTTGATGTATGGTTGCACTAAGGCATGATTACCAATGTAGACAAGAATTTCTTTGAGATGGAGGCTATTGTTTTCCCATGGGGAATCACAAGTCAATTCAGAAACATGAAATCTATCTCAAGCATGAAGAACAAAACATATATTAGTTTCTGCAGACTTCTGAGCATCAATAGTTTTGAATGCCTAATCATAATGCAAAGAGCAGTTTAAGGGGAAAATAGTTAGAAAATTCAGAAGAAAACATGATTGATGAATCTGAAAAGCTTTTTATTTTCTTTGAAGGTATCATTTTGCTTCATTTTCAATTAGAGAGTGATAAACTCATAGTAGCTTGCTTCAAAAATTCAAATGAATGAAAGGAAGTTCATGAGTTTTCTTTTAGGGAACCCACAAAATATGAAATGAAACACTCTTCAACTGCATTCCAAGAAAAATAGTTTAGCCGTTAATACCGCGTGAAAATTAAAAGACAACAAGAATTGTGGATTACATGTAAAGCATAACAAAGGCAAAAACAAAATAATTGGTTGAAAAAGAAGAAAAAAATAAAATCAAGCATATCGACGCGTGTCCAACAATCTATCGAGACAAATTTAGATGAAATTTGAGGTGTAGTTTGATATAATTAGTACAAGCATTTGGTGTATGCTTGGAAATTAACACAGCAATTCTCATGCTTCCGAATCAAGATCTTAGCAATGAAAATAATAACTGAAGTCGAAGTTGATGTTTTTCTTCTTAGAAGAAAGCTGAAATCCATATAGAACAGTGAGCAAAAGCTTCAATCTTTTTCAAAGTGCATACTAATTGTGAGCAGTGGCAGCTTAAGGAAAATTGATACCATACTTTTGAGGTGTAATTGCTTCTGATGATTCTGACACATTGACATCCAGAGAAGGATTTTAGCAAGAACAACAAAATTCAACTTTATATCTGATGAGATAAGAGCAGAGTCATAGATTGATGGCTGGTTCAACGCAAGAACATTCGATGTTCCGAACAAAAGATAACATAACAATTTAAAAGATAGATTGCATTTTGTTCAATTAATTAGACTTTTATGTCAACACATATGATGCTTATGCATGTCTACTGTAAAAAGAAGATAATTATGAGAAATGCAAGTTCATAATTAAGCTTAGCTTGGAGATCTTCTCATGTCTCCTTCATCAAGCAGCCCTCTTAATCTGTCACCTCAATGATAGGCTTTGCAGCTTCTTAAAGAGGGTCTTAAAGAAGGCCGGTCATACATATTGATGTTAAGATCAAGTGACAAGGAATGCATCATGAGAGAACAACCCTAAAGATGGACAGAAGCCATTAAACTCTGAAGGGATAACTACACTTATTGGGGTCCAAAGCAAGATGGCACTCAACATAGGCCTCAGAAACTTCCATGGAAATCAAATAAAGAGGCTCCAGACTTAGCCAAAGCAGTTTGTGGTACATGGAGAAAGGATCACAGCTCTTATAAATGACTAAATTGGCCCATTATACTTATCAAAATGAGGAGAGAGAGAGAGAGAGAGGTAGTAAAATCTTTTGCATGAAATGAAGAAGTGGGTAATGTTACTTGATTTGAAGCCAACAGTGTCAGAGCTCATTGGTAGTAGCCAACAGTGCACTCTTGGGAATCTATAATCAGCAAGTTAAATGGACCAAATGCAACAAAACAAAAGATAACCTATGTGGATATGCAGGATAGAGTTCTTTTTGTGGATATTCCAGCTGACATGGCCTTCTGTGAACATGCCAAAGCACACACAAAGGATGGGAGAGAGAGAGAGAGAGAGAGAGAGAGAGAGAGAGAGATGGCAAAAGTCAAATATTCAACAGCAAAATTGTAGCTAGGAAAATAAATATTCATTCTACTTGTGAAAATTTGTATCCATCTATGTTCTTCTCTTTTTGGGAGGAAAAAAGGAATCAGGGAATTGGAAAATTTGAGTTTAATACGCATTTAAATTCGATTCTGAAGCATCTAAGAGTATGTATAGATTTTCTTGCATCTGTCCTCAGCAGTACTTACAATCAAATCTCACAGTCACACAAAAAAGAAGAGAAAAAGGAAAAGCTCGGAGACACATGTGGAGGAGTTGTTAACAGTACTACAAATTAGTGTCATCGACCTATGTAGGATTGTACAAGCAACACCTTAATTGGTAAAGTCAGAGAAAGATCTGCAAGAAACTAAGACATAGTACTTACCAAAGAGAGATAAATCATCCCAAGCAGAAGTCATTTTTCTTGTACAAGACCTTAAGAAGAGGCCCTTGCTTTCCCTCTTATCCTCTTCTTCGGTTTGATTCAGCTAAATTCCTCATCAGATCACATGCCAGGAGAAAGAAAGGACAAACAAACACAGAAAACAGCGGATGAAACCCTAATGAACTAGGTTTAGGGTTTCTTTCTTCTGATGCTCCCATCAGCAGATGAAACTGCCAGATGACCTGATTTATCTCCTGCGGAGGTCCATGACACACAGATCCAAGGGATGATCAGATCATGCTGGCAGCTTCATCCACTCGTGGTGCACCGGAGGAATCCGAAAGACCGGCATGCGATCAATAGAACAGTAACTAGCGAGAGAGAGAGAGGGAGAGAGAGAGGCGGGGGAGGAGACAAGAGGAGGGAGAGAGAGAGAGAGAGAAGAGAGA